TTTTTTTTTAGCTGAGCCATCCTGCCACCTGTTGGCAGCTCAGCAGCTGCTCAGCTCAGGCCGGGACTCTAACCGCTGTTGCTCAGAGCTCGCACTCGAGCGAGCTCTTAACCAACTGAGCCACTCGGCCAGCCCTTGGGATACATTTCTTAAACTCTCTGAGACTCAATTTTTCTCCTCTGTACCATGGGACTAGTGATAGCTATTTCCCTAACATATGTATACAAATATATGAAAGAGTATAGCATAATGACTACTCCACAGTACATGCTCAATTCATATCCTCCGTCCTTCCTTGCTCATTCCACATTCTTATGATTAGAAGGGATGAAAAAGTAAGTAACTGCTTTCAGTTTACTTATGCTAGTCTACTTGTCCACACATCATATAATTCTTCCTGGATACAAGTAAAGCAATGGACATCAGTTTTTTCTCCTAAACTCCATGTGGTTATGGACCTACACTCACCCATAATTTCTTATTTTAACACTAGCAAGTTTACTTTGCAGATTTTCTCCTCCCATGACAGGTGCCAGTGGATCATTTTGGAATCCCAAAAGGATGAGTGGGGGGCTCTCTGAAATCACTATGGGAGAATTATTTTAGTAAAGAGTTTTGGAATACCAAGATAACATAGAAAGGCAGAGATTCACAGGACTTAAGTGTTTTAAGAGTTGAAAAGGAAAAGCTGCCCAAGCTCTAGAGTGAATTCCTGGAGAGGGGAATGAAGAAAGTATCTGGGTCCAGGATCCACTGGGTTGCAAATGTTGAAATTAGCTGACTCTACAACCCTGTAGGGGTATTAAAAATGTAGAGCCTTGAGTGGCTCTAAGTGGGACGTTTTTAGCCATGCTTAGCACTAAACAAGAAGGATCATCTGCCCTCAAAGAATCTTGCTGACCTATGCAGTGATTTACTAGAACAAGATGATCATTCCAACACCATAAGATAGTGTGGCCATACCATGTGACAATGAGTGCAACAGGCTCTGTGTTTTGGGATGCACTCAGGAGCCAGGCTGCTCCCCCCCCAACCACAGGACGAAATATTCTTAGACAATTCAGAGGAAGAGAGAGATTAGTAAGATGTTGGGAACCAATCTCCCCACCCTCCACACACACACTGAATTTGTGAAAGAATTTATTTTGATTATATATCTATAGTTACCAAACGATATGATTATACAGGATCACAGATTTAGCCCATTATCCCCAATTCTTTATGGTACCCTTATAAACAAAAACAAAAAAGTAAAAGAAAGCAAACAAAACTCCCCCCAAAAGATGCTCTTTCAGAAAATCCCCTTCCATCTCCCTCTCTGGTTACCTCCTGTGACAGCTACTCTGTTCACCTCTACTGGTGCTGAATTTATGTTTCTCTTCATCTCTACTCCACCCCCATTCTTCCATAGGATTCATCTCATTGCATAAAGTCCATGACCTTGAGATACCTGGGATCAATTTTAGATCCCTTTGCTTTAATCACAATGCTTTTTCGCCAGGCTTTTTAGCTAACTCCTTCTTACCTCTCTGGACCCTTTCTACCTTATCCCTTCAGAACTTATAGTGATATCTCTTCTCTTCTTTCTTCCCACTTCATCAGGCGGGAGTCAGGGGGGAGCAGCTCCTGAAACTCGGCTACTATTTTGCTTTCCAAAAATTGAACAAATTCATGATGTCACAGCAATATGAATATTTCTGGTAAGTCCATGGAAAGGGTATTGTTACTACAGGCAGAAAGAATAGGGCTGCGTGGAGTTAGGGGGAGAAAGGGAAGGGAGAAGTAAGGGAAACAAAGGAGAGAGGACATGAGATCACTCTTAAGAGAAGGTGCAGCTACTTGACTGGCCAGAACTCTTTCGGTGGCCCATAGCAGACCCAGGACACCATCTTGCCTCTCAAGGTGAACTTAAGCTAATTGTAATTGATTATAATATTATTAGCATTGCAGGGAGGGAAAATCTCCACCCCCTGTGTCACCCTCACAGTTCCAACAAGGGCCAAATAAGGGGGAAAAAATCCCTCCTCCAAACCTGAAGGAGTGGTCAGCAAAGACCCACCTGGGAACGCCTATAACACCACCCCTAAGTTTTGAATATTTTGCGCCCCCTTTTCGAAAATCATAAATTCCCAAGCCCCAACCCTATCCCGCCCAGTGGCTATTCTCCCAACCTGACCCACTGCCACCACCCTGGGAGTACGTTGTTCTGTCCTCTTTCTCTCAATAAATTCATCTCTTGCTCAGTTTATTCGATGAGTCTTTGAATTCTTTCCTGCAGCGTGACCAAGAACCTGTTCTCTGGAAACAGTATCTTGTGTTAATGTGCTGTATAAATTATAAAAACACAAAAATTTTTAATTATTTTAAAGATTTTAATATTACAATCACAAATTTTAAATGTCAGATTTTTCTCTAATGATTTAAGCTTTAAAAACATACAAATATAATGATTACAAGGCTAAGCAGTAAACTCACATTTACACTCTACAATAATTATAAACAAAAAAGGGGCTATGCAATAAACCTGACAAGCTCAGGGCAGGGCTGACAAGCTCAGTGACCAAAAGTAACCACACAGGATGATCTGATCACAGATTCCTAATTGGGCAGGTCGTAGCAGGTAGTCACGTCCCAGGCCTATATCTTCCTTAGCAAAGGTCAAGTCTTTACCTGTCCATTGTTCTTACGCATCTAGGATAACATACGTTTGAAATGTCAGAGTAATTTTCTTTTCCTACCCCTTGAAGGCACAACTGCAGGCATCAGACAGAGCACGAGACCACCAGAGCGTGAGACAACAGAACTCCACATTATTATCTTGTTTGCTGCATAGCATCTCTATGTGCTGTAAATGTTCATTATTAACTATCCTATACCCACTAATGTAAAAAAAGTATGTGTTTCTCCATTTTGCCTTTTATCCAATCCTAGAAATTTCCCTAGTATGCTTTTTTTCCGCCTCCTTAATCTACTACCAATAGATTTCATGCAACTTCCTTATGTCTTCTCCTTTGATAAGCTGCAAAACTGCCATTTTCCAGAGCATTTGAGATCTTGCTCCCCAGCATATGTCATCAGTTTGGCTCGAATAAACTCATAAAAATTCTCCACAGAGTTGGACATTTCTTATGTTAATAAAATAATATTATTTAAATTTATTATGTCTTCTTTTCCCCCTTCCTCTTTTTCCTCCTGTCTCTCATTTTTCTTCTGTTGCTGCTATT